CATCGCTTCAAATTGTAGTGAGGAAGAGAAACAAATAGGTGAGAGAGAAAAAGAGATAGGTGATTGATAACACCGTATTTTGACCACTTTTATGGATTGTTTTGAAATACTTTTTCTATGTTTTTAATTGCTTTTGATTACTTTTATTACGTTTTTCTAGTATTTGTAGTTTCAAAACTCTTTTCAGGAAACTTAGGGAAAAGCTTAACAAAATGGATAGAAAACCAGATTTCAGCTCAGAGTCAAACCGTCAGAAGTTCACCCCTGATTGAAGGCCTTCTCACCGTCTGATCCAGCTCAAATTTGGAGACCTTAAAGATGGAAGTATCAGCTTTCCAGTGCACTTTACAGCTTCGCAATCCAACGGTTCAATCAAAAGATACGCGAAGAGCAAGATGTCCCGTAAACCAGCCGGCAAGCACTTCCACCCGCGGCCAACAAGCATTTTCCCGCGGTCAATTCCCGCGGTCAGGAGCATCCCGACCGCGGCAAACCACCCATTCCCCGCGGTCAGAGCACTCCCGACCGCGGCCTTCAACCTCCGAGCCCAAAAAGCCCATTTCTGAAGCCCACATTTGGAGAAACCCTAAGTGACGTCCAGAGAGGTCTTGAGCACTATAAATACATGTCTTAGGAGCCCTAGAAATCGTACAACCTATCACCACCGAAATATTTACTTCATATTTTTATTGTTTTTGCTTTAGCTTTTAGGGAGAGAGAGATTTGTTCTCTTGAACCCTTGTTCTTTCTTTATCAATTTCGGTTTCTATTCTACTTCTTAATATTATGTCTTTGATTTCGTTCATTATGTCTGAGTAGTTTTATTGTTGGGATTAAGGGATTTTCGATGGGGATTTATATGTTCGGTGAGGATTCCATTGGCTTTTGAGCTGAATCTTAGAACTTTTTCTTCTGAATTCGTTTTTACTGCATGAGAGTAGCATCATGAACTACAATCTGATCCAGATGCTTGGTGACACGAAAGTGTTCATCAGGTATCAGATCTAGTTTGGGAGAGCAAAACAAACATAGGAGTGGAAACCTACCTATGGGCGATTTGTGAATTAGGACGAGTCTTAAACATAATGCATCTCTTCTCTTCCAGGGCCAGAGTGGAAACCTACTGGTCAGGGTTGAGAGAGATAGTTGTCTATGATCACGACAGTGGCGTATTCATACGTCCGTGACTCCAGTTCGAAAAATTTAAGCTAAGATCTTATCAAATTTCCTCTCTAGCAATGTTTTGAATCGTTCGTACCCCTGAGAAAACTTCCCTGAAGCCCAACGCTTTCTTTCCATTGATTTACACCGATTTTCTTTAAGCTTTAGTTCAATATTGTCTTTCCTTTTTAGTTCATTTTCATTTAAGCATTAGAATATCCGTTTTTATCATTTTTAGTTATTTTCGTTAAGTTTAGTTATTACGCCATTTAATTTCCGTACTCTCTTTTAATATTTCGTTTTTACATTTTAAACACACTACCAAACCCCCACTAAACCGTTTTTGTTCTAGACTTCCTTACTTTAACTTATTTCAAAGGCTTTTTGCAGGAAAATATCCTCCTTCCCTGTGGATTCGATCCCTAAGTACTACAATTGATCAGCTGTGCACTTGCGGCTATTGATTTCAATTAGGGTAAAACTTGACACCCACAACACACCACCATCAGTGATAAAGAGAGTTAGAGAGATGGGTATATAAGGGTAATAGTGTATTAATGAAAAATATACAGTACGTTTTCCTACTATCCTAATTATGAATAGTATTGAGGTTATCTCATACATTTATTCCATATAAGCTTTTGTTAAATTATACGATACTTTCAAATCATTTATCCCCCACAACTAAAGACGTTACTATTCAGACAAAGACAAGAAATAAATTTTGGTAATTTTTGGTCATGTTGTATAAGAATACACTTTGTACACCAAGTCAATCAAAGGTTCAGCTCAACCGTATTTTCGATATTTACACTACAAAAAAACAGCAGGTATTCCTACAAAAAATATCATCAAAAAATGGTAGGAAACAAGCATTTCCTACCAATTTCCTACCTATCTCTTTTTCTCTCTGACCTATTTCTTTCTCTTCCTCACTACAATTTGAAGCGATGAACAATTTGTTGTTGTCTCTCTTCCTCAATCGTTTCAATACGTACCTGCTTGGATTCGATTTAGATTTTCATCGACGGCCTCAAACAGCTCCGGACCATCTCGATCAGTGCATAGATCGAATCCGCTGGGTTTCTGAAATCGGTCAGCGAGGACCTTGACTTGCTCGTCGGCACATATGGAAAATAGATTTAGTGGCTTCTGAACCGGCTCTCATGGCCGCTCAAGCTCGGCCACCACCGCCTTGAGCTCGGCTTGTTTCCCCATCTCGTAGTTCTGACGTTCACGCGATATATGGGATAGACGCGCCTTGAAGAATTGTTTCTGTTTTTTCGCCTGCATCTTCTTCCACTGCCACTTTGATACACCGCCGGGAAACGTCTTCGGACCGCCGCCATACAGATAACCATCGAAAATTGATGAAGAGGGTTTGTTTGTTTCCTCTTGTAATTTTATTGTTAGAATGCTAACATTACATCTAGAATGTTATATGTATTTGTAGCGCACTAACTTCAAAAATAACATCTATAACAATATAGATAATTCATTATTGTTATCAATGTAACATATTTTTTACCAACATCGTAGCTCTAGCTAACATCGTAGCTCTAGCTAAGTATCAATGTATTAAAAAACATAACATATTAGCAAATACAAATATTATGTTAGAGGTGATAAATAAATTGTTAGCGGATAAAAATAGTATATTCGAAATGATAAATAAAGTATTAGCGAATACAAATTTAGTGTTAGCAAGATAATATAATTTTTATTGATGTAAGTTTAGTGTTAACAAGATATCATAACATTTATCATGGTAACAAAGTATGTAGTATGATAACAATGTATATAATTGTATAACTTATATGTTAACGAAAAAAAGACGATGAGAGAGAAATTCTATACGGAAAAGAAAAACTCGTAACAAAAGGAAGGGGTAAAGAGTCATAACACCTTCAAAATGTCAGACCAATGTCACATCAATTTACTGTTTTTCCTGTTTACCTAATTTTGACAAGATTTTAGATTTTCTAGCAAATTGTCTCAAAAATATAATTATGAATAAGCATGTTCAGTATAAAATAATTGATATGAAATAATGTTTGATTGGTGAAATGAAATAATAAATAGTACTAACTAATATTGTTAGTTGTTTTAAAAAACAATTTAAATTTTTTAAACAGAATTAATTTTTCAATAAAATTAAGATGTCTTATTTTTTTTAAAAAAAAAATTTTTAAATTATTCAAAAAAGCACTAAACACACTAAAACACACCAAACACATGTGCGTAATCACTGTGCAAGGCAGGCGTATTTCAGTTTTCCTTCATAAAACTTATATGTCATGTCAATATTTTAATAAAAAAATAGAAGACAAAAAACACACTACAGTTCATTAAAAATGTTGAATGGTGATAACTAAGTAGAATCCACAATTTTACTAAAACAGCGGTGTAATATGTCTCCATTCAAGCCCAACAATAACTAATTATTATCCAAAGGAAAACTTTAACACCAACAGATATGAGGTCGGCAATATGTGAGGGACCTCATTTTTTGTCTAATTTTATTGTCAATCATCCGTCCAATTAAGTATGAAAAATGGAATATGATAAATGTAATTATTGATCCAGTGAATGTTTGATAATTATTTGAAGTATGTCAGTATCTATAAGCTAGTATATATATATATATTGAATCTAATGTTAAATTATATTCAAAAAAAAAAATGATTTTTATAACTTTTCTGCAGTTTATCTGTGTGATTGCGGGTCATCTCGGGTATTTGATAGTTGAGTATAGAAAATTCTGTGTTCTTTGAACTGTGTGTAGGATAGTTGTTATCTTGTAAAGTAGGCTTGTTTAGGATAGAATTTCTCTTAAATATTTATGTCTGTTATGATGGTGTTATAGGCCTGCTTAAAGCTCATCCTTACTGAGTAATTCTTATTACTCACCCATTCTTTTCCCTTATGTATAGATAGATCAATTTATCTATGTTATTGATTGTTACCTTGGCGTTTTTGATCATGACAGATCTGAGGCCAAACCAGACGACTAACCGAATATGGTTTAGATGATCGACCTAACATTTCCTACTTTCCTTCCTCTCTAAGAAGTCCGAGATAGGGATGTTACATAAACCATCTGCGTAACGCATGTCTCTTATTCCCGGATAGAGCTGAGCTGATTTCGCATGTTTTTGTCTATGATCTTCGAGATGTGGTATGCTGTAGACGGCCTTTCGCCATACTTTCTGTTGTCCCGCTTCCCTCCAGAATTTAAATAATATTTTACAAATTAAATATGTCTAAATATCAAATCGAATAAATATCATATAAATAACGGTGCTAATACTATAGTTCAAATGTACAAAATTGGCATATACGAAAGCTGAAATGTTCTTCAAAATTATTGACATTTTATTTGGTGAACCTTATTGCAGATTAGAAGAATCAATGGTGAAATACAAAATACAATATGCATGGTGTAAAGCCGAAAAAAAACAAATAGTCATGTTTTTTTAATGTCCTACGGCTACAATTAAATGTCACTACGGCAGATACTAACGCTCCCAAATGTTTCCAGTATCATTAATCTTTTTATACTTTTAATTATTTCTTGGGTTTGGAGAGTTCGAAAAGATAATCTTAATATCTTTGTACATTTTGTTGTATATATGGAAATAAGACAATTTTCTTACGCGTATAGTTTCTCTTTATGGAAAGACCAATCTTCCAGTCTTCGCCAACAACCCAACGTTTTAAGTTTTGACTTTAGCGGGGCCCACCTTAGTTTAATCTTCTCGGTCCAAAATTGTCAGCGAATGATGCCAAGCATCACTATATATATACTTTCATCACATTTACAAAATTTAAAGCAACTCCCATAATCAGAAACACGTTCTTTTCGAATTCTTAAATCTCAGTATCACTCTCTTTCTGAATTAATTATTCATATTTCTCTGCAAATAAGAAGGAAAAAAAACAAAGAGAAAATATGTTACCAGAATCATGCGTAGCCAATATAATTTCCTTCACATCTCCGGCCGACGTATTCTCGTCTACGGCTGTCTCTTCGGTTTTCCGACTAGCCGGAGACTCAGATTTTGTATGGGAAAAGTTTCTACCGTCAGATTACAAAAGCCTCATCTCTCAGTCCACTGATCATTATCAAAATTTCTCATCCAAAAAAGAGATTTATCGATGTTTCTGTGATTCCGTCCTCATCGATAATACTCGAAAGGTTTGAATTTCATGAGTTTCTTAATTTTTTTTAAAAAAAATTAACGAATAAGTATATGAACTAATAATATTTTCTTTTTTCTAACACAATTTCAGCTTTTCAAGATCAATAAATTTTCTGGAAAAATTTCATATATTTTATCAGCAAGAGATATTTCTATAACTTCCAGCGACCAAGCATCCTACTGGTCTTGGAGCAATGTCTCAGATTCTAGGTTAATTTCTTTTGTCCTTAAAATAACTTTTAATGGTTTGTGTAGATTTCAGAATTTCTTGTATCTAAAATGCTTCAATGTAAATCATTTCAGATTTTTGGAATCAGCTGAACTTATAACAACGGATCGGTTAGAAATTAACGGTAAAATCCAAACCGGAGTTTTATCACCAAACACAAGATACAGAGCATATCTCATTTTGAAAGTAACTAAACAGGCATTCGGACTAGACCTAGTTCCGGCTGAGACTTGGATTAAATCCAAAAATGGTAAAATTGTTAAGAACACAACTTATCTATGTTGCTTAGATGAGAAGAAACAACAAATGAAGCGGCTGCTTTATGGAAACCGAGAAGAACGAATGGCGATGACCGTGGATGCCATCTGTGGGGACGGGAAAAGGAGGGAGCCAAAAGGTAGAGACGACGGGTGGATGGAGATTGAGTTAGGAGAGTTTGAGACACGACAAGGTGAGGATGATGAAGTCAGTATGAGTCTCACGGAGGTGAAAGGGTATCAATTAAAAGGTGGGATTGTGATTGATGGGATTGAAGTGAGGCCTAAATCTCTGAATTAGGACCAAGATGAGAATGGAATCCGATGGTCTAATTATATTTTTATATAAAATATGAGAGAAGAAAATGATAAAACCTTTTAGCACAAAAAAAAATAATAAGAGAGAAAGCAAAAGGGTTGTGTGAAGAAATTGATTTATTTATTCATTATTATGCGCATGTTGAAGAATATATGACACTCAATTCTTTGGTTAGTTTGTAGATTTCGTCTCAGCGTGTGTAAGAAAATAATAAGAATAATTAATTATAAAATATTTACATTTTATATAAGCTCATATGTCTGAGGGAAAAATAATTATTAACGAGTCATTATATTATTAAATTTTATTGTACTATTTTAATGTCTTTTGTAATATTTTCTGTATAATTTAACTAAAAATTTATGAGAAATTCATAAATCTGAAAGAGTTATAAAAAGTCCTCATACTTTAGTGGCCTAAATGTAGATATATCAATTATGGCTAAAGTTCGAATCCCAGTCCAGTCCACCCCGGAAAAATGTTGGATTTAGATCAAGAAATATAAACTAAAAATTGTTGACCTTTTCGTGCTAAGCTCATTCAGGCTAAATTATTTGTTTAGATAAATACGATCTTTTGACGCTGACGATTAGTTTATCTCCACATGTTTGTCAATGGATTTTTTTTTTTTTTTTTTTTTTTTTTTTTTTTTTTTTGCAGAAACGACCGCTTGGATCAATGCAAGATTTAGCATTGTACCTTGGATCCTACCGAACCAAGAGACATGACATGGAAGCCTCCTACCCTTGGGCTCTCTGTATATGTCAGGTATGAAGAGGTTTAATTAAGGACCGAGTGGTTAAGAGGTGGGATGCTTTCCCTTTCCCTTTCCCTTTCCAATCTTGTAGAAAACCTGATCCTTTTTTTTGATAATTTTTTTTTTATTTGAGAAGAGAGCTCATAGACAACCTGATCCTTAGTATCAATGGATTCATGGAAGGTATGTGATGAATCACTTATGCGTGAATAAATAGTTTAATACTTTTGATTTCCTTCCAATAGACAATAGGAATATGTTCATATCTACACCATCCTTCTGGCAGCCTATGGATCATGCAATTGATGTATTCTACTTACACTTGATAGATGAAAGTGACAACACACATAGTATAGAGAAGAACAACAGTATGGGAGATGACCATATCGAGTCTGATCGGCTAAGAGAGATATAGAGACGTAGGAAGATTCTGTCGAGCAGCTGAAAAATATAGCCCAAAAAATAGGTTAAAAATCAGGTAAAACTCGACAATTATAGATCTGACCGATATACTAACTCGAGTTAGGTAAGACTCTAGAAATACTTCTTTTTCCCTAGCAGGAAGGAGGTTCACAAAATTTTCATATTCTCATTACATTAAGAGGTATCTCATGCATTATACTTCCAAACAGTGCATCTTTTAAACTCTTAATTTCCTCTCTTTTACCACAAAAGGCAGCTCTTATAACCTTTTTTGATTCACCATTTCTTTCGGACCCAATTGGCACCATTCATCACCTAATTTTCTGAACACTTTTTCATTTTTTTATGATCCTCTATGTAATCTTTTTTTATTTTTTTCTGAATTAGGCATCCGAGTACCTTCGGAAAACACATCAACATCATGCATAGCACAGATCCCTAACCTAATTACAATGTATAAAGAGAAGCCCAAAAAAATAGAATGATCGTATAATTCTGTATAAACTCTTTTTCAGGTTTAAAATACTAAATTAAGTTCTGCATGATACGAGGAAAATTGTTGAAATATTTAAATTTTAAAAATGATAACCTTACTATGATCTGTGTAATTAGATTCTGAATTAAGTTTTTGTTAAAGTATCCATAAATTATATTTTAACTATTAGTAAATTCAAAATTGATCTATATTTTCAACAAACTTAGTAAAAAATATTTCTAAGTTAAAAAAATATATTTTAAATTATAGATTTTATATTTTTTATATTTTTTTTCGTAGGTTCTTTCTTTGAATCTTTTTCTATTTTAATAGTTTTCATTTTAGAAAACAGAATTCATTTTTTTAAAACAGTTAACTAAAAATTAAAAATTTTATATTATTGAATTGATACATGTCGCGATTTAAACTAACAAAACACATGTTGCGCTCTCGTGAGTTATTATTATTCTATATGTCATGCTTACAGCTTTATATAATAAGATAAGAGGCTGGACCGAATTCAAATATATATGAATTTAGCGAGTCCCAGTGGGCTAGGCAGTGCCAACCCTATTGATATATCTTCCTACTTAACAAATTATTGTGAATTTCTTCGTTATTTCCCAACATTAACAAAGAACATTTCAAACGCGGCGGTGTGAAGGAAATAATGAATTCCTTATACGGTACTGTATGAAAAAATAAACATATCAAACGTCGCTGTTATGAGAGTAAAATTCGACCAGTGTTGACTTTTATCATACGCAATAACAGGTTATAGCATTAGCCCCTCCTCTTGGAAGTTTGACAACTTGACCCTATATAATTAATTAGTATAACTTGTATCTTATTCAAAGACACACTTTATCAGTTACAATTTGACTTTCATGTATATCCTTTCAGAAGGTAACACTTATTTTATAAATTGAAACCCAAAGCAACTATAGTCAAAACACGATTAAATTATGCCATCTTGATATATCATGAATGATTTGATAATCCTCTGAACGACGGCTCAAGAATTAGGTTGTCATACAAATTATATATATAAAAGAAAGATTTCACTGTCTCCCTATTAGGTCACCTGACAATCTTATTTTGATATATAATTTTAAATTAGAAATAATTTGTTTGCTTAGAAATAATTGTTATAACTATAAGAATTGTCTATGTCTATAGTAAAAACCATGTTTTCAAATTGTTACTTTACAACTGATATAGAGGATGATAAATTTATTGAATTATAATACAAAAATTATCATTTTTTCAAAGAATGATTTGCCAACTAATCATATGTGTATGTCCAAAATATATTTTCACTCTTTCACTATATATTTTCCTATTTTTATATCTTCATATCCATCTAATCATTATCAAAAACATATAATTTTTTATTGTTGGTTGTTTAAATATAACCATCGAAATACTTTCATATCAGATTGAACAAAAAATATTACTATTAGAAATTTCACAATTTTGTTTTTGTTGCATGCAATCAAAATTTACGATATTTCCAAAAAATTTTCAATTCAGTTGTCTATTATTTATAAAATTATGCATACCTCAAAAATATAAAGATATATAAATAATTATGTAATGGAAATTGAAAACAAATGTTTATGTACCATATTGAATACAAAAAAATTAATAATTTAATGCATAATCTGCACGATGTGCGGGAAATCACCTAGTGATTTTTAAAGCTATTAATATGGTGAAACCACATCAAGATGGGGTTAGTTCTTTTTCAAGGAAACCCAAAGTAATTATTGAAAAAAAGAATCCCAAAGGGTAACCAGTTATCGTACCAGAAAGAGAAGAATCTGCCGTCCCTTACCCAGAGGTCAATCTAGACCAAAATTTATAATGGGGGCAAAATTAATTAGTGTTAATGTATCTTAGTAAATTATTATTATTTTATTAATAATATTAGTATATTTTAAATAATAAAATGTAAAGAAAAATATCTTTTCATTTTAGCGAGTATTAGTTACTTACATATTGATTAGATGTGTTACAAAAATTATTATTTTATAAAATATTGAAAGAATTTAATATATATATATATAATATAGCATAAATAATACAATCAAAGAAAATACTAATTTTATTTATTTACTATGTCAGAAGAGTTTAAAGAATTTGCATACTTTAACCCAAAATGATCTCATATTTGCAAATCTAACCAAACACTAGTATAATTACTGTTTAATTTTTCATAATCCCATATTACCCTCCAATATGTATTTTCTTTTTCCTTCCTTATTATTTTCCTCAAAATTATCCAGTTTTCCACAATTAAAAATTTACATTATGTATCTAGAAAGATGATTACCAAAAATCTGGGTTTAGGCATAATGATGGCAAAAATAGGTGGAGGCCCAAATCTGGGTGAATAATAGCTGTGGTGTATACTGTAAAAACATAACTCAGCGAGTTTCTCTATAATATTTCTTCCAGCGGTGGTTTTTTGAGCAAATGTGAGTCTGATTCTCCTCATGATCCCTCATAATTTAAGTACCACCGCTGAATCGCTGTGAGAAACGCGAGCCTCCTAAGACTCGGTTACGCTGTCGGTACGACAACATGTATGGCGGCTCCTACTCGTATAGTTACAAGGTTTGTTGAAGTAGGAGATGCTGCAGATCGAGAGATCCTTGATGGTGTTGATGTGCTTTCTCTCTCTCGGTGATGAATCTATGTGCAAGCAAATAGATTCGTTAATCTGAAAGTGAACACTTTATAAGTTAATTACCTTCTTAAATAAAAAGTTACAACTATATCAACAAGTATTTTAACATGTTTAATTTGATATTTTAGTAAAGAACACGAAAATAAACATACAACAACTGAGCTATTGAGCTATACAAAATGGTAGAGATACATAAATGTTTAACAATGATATATCCTTCGCCTGAAGTACAAGACCATGAAAGCTAACCTACAACAATTGAGTTACCTTGTTAAATATAAAGTTAGCGATATATTTAAATATTTACCTACTATCTATATACTTATTTGTGTAATGATTTGTTTACGTGTCGCGCTCACAGTGATTATTACAGTGTTTCGCTTACGTGTCAGCTCCAGAATGAATTTCAACTGCAAAAAGACATTTTACCCCATTTACCGATTATGTGCCATTTTTATTGGTTTATCTGATGATGTGTTAAAAATAAGTTGAAACAAATTATTCTAAATTATTGTGGTTTAATGCTTTATTTCGTTGTCAAATCAAACCGTTTATGAAATTTTATAAAACCGAAATTTAGAAATTTTTTTTTAAAAAAAATTAAAAATCAATAAATAGAATGTCTAATAGAATGATGATATTTGTGATGTCTAGATTAGTGTATTTGACTTCAAATGTTTTAGTATAAATATGTACATGATTTCTCTCTAATTCTCTCACATCCTTTCTAAATTGTTTAACTCTTCCTTCTTCAAATGAGTTTGTACGGTATTTAAAAAACTACATCTTAAATACATAGAGCAGTGATAAAAAGATTTTAAACTATTTAAACTGAATTATTTGGATATTAATATGT